TGTCTTGAGAAAACGACGTTGATGTTTGCAATTTTTTTCTAACAATTTTTGAAGTAGATTATTAAATTTTCGTCTTTTTTCAATACATTGCAGCTTTTTTTTTATTAAAAATGGGCATTTTTTGACATTTATTTTTCTAAATAATTTCATATCGTAATTTTTATTGATGAAAAATAGAAATACAGAAAAATTAAGATTAAATTTTGATCAGAAATTAAATAAGTAAACAAATAATTTTCCATATAGAAAAATTGAATAACAATGTTATTTTTAAAATTTTCAGTTTAAAAACAAAGATTTTTTTCAAAACAATACTTCTATAGGTAATTATGAAAATCATCGATTTCATTTGGAATTCTTTTCATGGATTTAAAAACATATTTTCTACTAAATTACGCGTGTGTTTCGAAATCCACCAATTTTTAAGAAAAATGATAATTGAAAAAGGGTCAAAATATTTTCTGTCCGCTTTTATTTTATGACCGTTGAATTCCTTATAAAAAATTACTTTAAAACTAATTTTGTGGAATATTTAAATTAGATTTTTCATATACTTAAAAATATCAATAATAAAAATAACAATAAAAAATTTTTAAAATTATACATTTCATAATTTTTTATTATTTACTTTTTTTTTGTTTAGAAATTTTATTTGTTTAATAATTTTTTCATAAAAAAATTTCCTTTATTGTTTTAATACTTTTCCATAATAATATTTTAAAAAAGTAAGTAAAATAATAAATAATAATAGATATAATAACATTAATAAATAAATAAACAAATAATAAATGTAATAGTAAACAATGAGAGTATAATTGACATTTAATATTTTTGTTCCTCACGTTCATTTCTACCATTTCTACTGTACTACGCAAACGGTGCAACCTGATATAGTCGGCCATGGCTAACCTCCCATATTGAGCTGTCAGTTTGCTATGTTTTGGAAAACGCGGATTGATATTCACGCCCATAGAAACATCTAATCGTCATAAGAAAACTTGTTGAATATTCTCTATTAAATATTATTTTTCCCTAAATCGCCCTTTTTTTCATTTTCAATCTGGATTTTTTTTAATTAATTATCAAAGTCAAAAAATTTCACCAAGATGGACGAAAAGAGGGGAAAAGAGTGGAAGTTGAGGAGAAATCGCTCGCTACGCCTATGCGTACTTTTAAATATTTCCCACCGTGCAGCGTCCTTAAGTAGTTATACATTATTTATCATTATTTTCTTTGAATTTAAATAATTCAAAGAAAGGTTATAAGTATCTTGCAATGTAAAAATAGTATTTTTGTTTAATTTTCATGTGATAAAACACATGGACAAATGCCACTCCCGCCATCTGTCGTGCAAAACGCGCGGCGACATATCAACAGTTATTGTAGGTAACCGTCCTTCACTATTTTCATAGCTGCTATATATACATTATTCATACTATTAAAACATTAACTTTTATTAATTATAACACATTATAATAATAAAATTACACTTTTTAACTATTTATCTGACATTAAAAAATCATGACAATAACACTTTCTCAATAAATACACACTAATTTATCAATACACATTCACTTGACATATATTTTATCACATATATTATTTTTATTGACATATATTTATTTTTATTTTATATTTTATTATATATTTTATATTTTGACATATATTTTATATTTTATTATATTTTATTTTTTATTTTGACATATTTTATCTTTTATTTCACTTAATTTACATTAATTTGTAACAAATATGGTCATAAACGATTAATAAACACTTTTTATACAAAACCCAATACTTACTTTATCATATTTTTGCATTTAAAACACTTTTTTGTTAACGTCAACTTTTGACGGATTCTTGACGTTTTCGCGTCAAGAAAGCATCAACCCGTTCCCCCAGGGTTTTTTCTGTGCAAAATTCCCTAAGCAAAAAGAAAAAAAAAATACTTATTTTTTCAGTGTAATTTAATAATAATATAATACTAAAAATGTTCATAATAATAATTTTATAAAGTTATTTATATATATTTTCGTCTTTTGGATTAATTTAAATAATAATTTGAATTTATAATATTAATTATTCAATTATAAAATTAATATACACGGTTATTTTAAATCCTTAAAAGAATTTCTTCACAAAATTCAATAACTGAGATTCAAAATTGTAGTTATTTTCTTGATTCACTGCATTTGTCTCTGTTAACGTTCAAGTGTTGTCTTCAACATTGGGGACAATATACGTGTATATTGTGAATTTTGGTTTTTGTTTCTAAAGTCTTACTGTAAATACAAAATAAACATATTTATTACTTAGTGAACTCAATAAAGTTTCCCATAAGAAATCACATTAATAAGAAACAATCACTTTGAGAAGTTATAAAAATGAAACTACTAACCTCAGCAATCAAATGTTTTCCACGTTTGAAACTTCTCTAAAACACATTAAGTCACTTACAAGCTACTATTGTTCACAAAATAATTAATAGTCACAATTATTGCATTGAAAAGTATTGCCAGTTACCGCAGCAACAATTTTTCAAAAGCAAGTAACACAATTTATCGATAAACGGCGCCAATAGCATCAACTCCACCCGAAAACAGAATTTTGTTCCTAATAGCCCCAGTTTACGGTAATAGAAATTCAAATAAATTTGAAGATTTTGCAGCAATCTTGCTGCAAGATTTACGTGCTATCTGGGCAGTGTAATATTATACGATTATAAAAAAATTGCAACAAAATTTATGTACATTTTGTATAACTGTGTAATTAACATTACCGCGAAATATTTACTATATCAAGCGGACATTTTAATATATTATTTTTTAAATATATAATTATGTACATTTTTTTTATAATTTATTCATTTATTGAAGCGGATTTAAAGGGGAATGAATATTAATAGAATAAATTTAAAATAATTTTAATTTTCTTATTTTGTTTTATTTTGAAAAATAGTTTATTCTAATAAAATTTGAAAATATTTGTTTTTTTCAGGAGTGTTCGAATTTTGTTTTTGATTTTAGTTTCTAAATTAAAAGGAAATTTGCTTATAGTGCTTGGTACGAGAGATGTGAACTTGTTGTAGAATTATTTAGCACCATGAATAAATTAAATAATTCAGATCGCGACCCCAGCTATGAACGCTCTCAAAAAAGTCATAGTGCGTATTATATGCGCACGTAGTGTGTATAATCAAACTATATACTGTAAAAGGAATATTTTCCCTTTAAATTTTTTTATTTTATCAAAGAAACGAAAACAAAAAATTTAATACATATATTATATTAATAAAAGAAGAGGCATTTATTTTTTATATTGGGAAATTACTTTTGAAAAAAATGAATAAGCAAAAATTGTTATTTTTTACACTTCTCATTGTCTTCTCATTTATTGGTGAGCTAATATTTTCATAAATTATTAAATTAAATTTTGTGAAAACAAAAAAATTTTATTTTCGTTTTAAACAATTCTCTACATTTTTAATACTTTTTTTTTAAAATATTAAATTAATTAATTATGTCTATAGAATTTATGGAAGCTAGACGTGGTCGTTCCTATGGTTATTCTCGCATTCGTGGAACTAGTAATAGACGAAATCGTGGACATTATCACGGAGGATGGTATTATCATAGAGGTAAGCTGAAAAAAAACATTTGTTTAAATAAAAAAATGTCCAATTATCCATTATTTGGAAATAATATTTACTTTTATATATATATATATATATATATATATATATATATATATATATATATATATATATACTATTACAATCTTTAAATTTTATATAATTTTAAAAAATTAGTCAACTTTTACTAAAAGTAATTGAATTTGTTTCTGATACAAAACTAAGATATTTCCAAATAATAATTTAGAAATTAAAAGAAAATTATTTTTTAAAAATTCTATTGCACAAATATTTGATTAAAATTATTAAATTTACTATACAATTAAGATTATTTTTATTTTCTTCATTTATTTTTTTTTAAATCATATTATTATTGTTGTTAAATTAATTATCACTATTAGAATTATTCAATAATTATTCGTTTTTTTGATCATTTGAAAAACAATTTTTCAGATCTCAATTCAACACCGAAATTAGAAACTGGAACGAATTTTTGGATATTTGGTTTAGTACCTTTGACGATGATTTATTACTTTTAAAAAATATCAACCATTTGTTGAAACAATTCAAGTTTTTCATTAGCAACAGAATTTTACTGTCCTATTTACTTATTATTATTATTTTTATTTTCTTTTATTACTATAATATTTGTTATTGTTAAAAATTTTAGCATACACTAGTTAACAATGGTTTTGCTGTAGTTTAATTTTTTTGAGGATATTTTTTTCACAATTCTTCCTCGTTATAAATAATATTTCAATCAAATAACATTATCATAATAACAGAGAAATAAAATTTTTTAAAATGCATGAAAATTTGTCTTCTATTGAGATAATTAAAGCAAATTAACAATCAATTACTAATTAGTAAATAAATTTATTATAATTAGCATCTCAATTGTTCCATATTAAAAATTAATTATTGATTTAGAAACAATTAGATATTAATTAATTTTCCTGTTTGTGACAAATTAATGACAAAATCAGTTTAAATTAGTTAAATTTCTCATTATTTGGTAATTAATTTCTTACTAATTAGTTTAAATGAATGAATTATTTCCATCGTTGTTTTATTAATGAATTTGTTTGTTAATTACTAACTTATAATGGTTAATTAAATAATTTACAAATGAATTTATTAATTGAAATTAATTGAACGATTAATTAATTATAGTAATTTAATTATAATTATTAATTTCAAAATATATTACTTAATTCTTAAGATAGTTTATGTATTTTTATTAAATATTGTATATATTATATTTCTTCTATTTTTGTAAAAATAAGACTGTATATAGAAACATTATTATATAAAGAATACAATAAAATTCCAAAGCAATACTATAGGAATGTAAAATAAATGAAAAACAAAATTTAATATTAAATATTTATTTATTCTTGACCCAGAAACCTAATAACGATTTCAGATCAATGTCAATTTTAATTCCCCTAATGAATGAAACAATAAAGTTATGTTATATGAAAAAATAATGCTTTGCATTCTTCATTATGCAACTTGGACACTCGAAGAATTAACAAGACTTCTACGAATTAGTTTTGTTAAATGTGCATTCTGAAATGTTCGTAATATGTAACGTGAGTTATAATGGTTCTCAATGAAGAATAATATAATTTCATATATTAATGAAAAAATTACAAATTCAAATATAATAATATTAATTAATGTAATTTAATTTATTCGAACATTCCTAGATTCAGTTTCATATTTGTCATGCAGCGAACTTAATTGCCAGTCCATATTTTGATTTCGGTTTAAGTTTTTATTTACAACCAGGTTTCCTTTCCTTTACCAAAAATGGCACCACTCTAAATTGAGGTTTTAAACAATCTGGACGAGGCCATGGATATCTGCAAAGAAAACATAATATTAGACTTCATTGGAAATATTAATAATATTTTTCGTTGCAATATTTGTTATTGGAGTGTTCCAAGAAATTCCGATTACAGTAAGAATTCTTATGGAATTCCATTTTCGAGACGTACTTGGAGAGTAGATGGGTAGATTAGCTTTTTAAGTAAAAAGCTGATGCTTATAATAACAAAAAATATTAAAAATTTTAAATTATTTAAAAAATTATGTGTGAAATTTAAAAGAAACAATTTTTAATGAATTTATGTTAATAAGAAATTGAAATAATTACCTTAATGAAGGTCTGAAAAGTCCTCTGTTGGGAAAGCCGAGAGGTCCTCGACTAGGAGACCATGGACCGAGTGAATCAACTGGTCCTCGGTTTGATGACCAAGGACTGAGGGGATCAAATGGTCCTCGATTTGGTAACCAAGAACTGAGGGGATCAATTGGTCCTCGGTTTGGTGACCAAGGACTGAGGGGATCAAATGGTCCTCGATTTGGAGACCAAGGTCCCAGAGGTCTTCGATTGGGTGACCAAAGTCCGAGAGGTCCTCGATTGGGTGACCAAGGTCCGAGAGGTCTTGGATTGGCTGACCATGGACCGAGTGGATCAAACGGTCCTCGATTTGGTGACCAAGGTCCGAGAGATCCTCGATTAGGTGACCATGGACCGAGTGGATCAAACGGTCCTCGATTTGGTGACCAAGGTCCGAGAGATCCTCGATTAGGTGACCATGGACCGAGTGGATCAAACGGTCCTCGATTGGGTGACCAAGGTCCGAGAGGTCTTGGATTGGCTGACCATGGACCGAGTGGATCAAACGGTCCTCGATTTGGTGACCAAGGTCCGAGAGGCCCTCGATTGGGTGACCATGGACCGAGTGGATCAAACGGTCCTCGATTTGGTGACCAAGGTCCGAGAGGCCCTCGATTGGGTGACCATGGACCGAGTGAATCAACTGGTCCTCGATTTGGTGACCAAAGACCACCATTAGGTAAACCTGAACTGGCAGGTTTTTGAACAGGAGTGCACTGTAGCGTTGTCACAGTAGGTCCAGAACTTTGAGGCATTCCACTTGGAAGTGCATTCCACGGATATCCACCAGGAAGAGTATTTGGATTTATTGGTCCTGGATATCCACCACCCAAGATATTTGGATCAATCAGTGGTAGTCCACCTGCAGCCGAATTGGGATCAAGTTGTTCAGGATATCCCTCAAGGGAATTCAAATCTCCTAATAGATTTCCATTTGAAGAAGGATCAAAATAATTGGGGTCAATAGGATAACCACCGCCAAGCGAATTTGGATCAAGTTCATTTTCGAGTAAAGGATCATAACCACCATTAAGAGAATTGAGATCACCTTCAAGGGATGAAGGATCGAAGGGTCCTGGATAGCCTAGAAGGGAAGTCGGATTGTAGGGTGAACCACCAAGGGAGTTCAGGTCGCCCAATGGCATTCCGCCTCCAAAGGAATTTGGATAACCTCCGGCATTGGGATCTGTACCATCAAGTGGATTAAGTTCGAATGGCGTTTCACCTTCTCCTGAATTGAGGTCTGGATTTTCACTTTCTAGTGAATTTGATCCCAAATCGTAGGGATTTCCGTATTCGGATGAGTCAAGTCCTGACGAGAGACTGGCATCCACTATCAGTGGAATGGTTGGTCTTGGTAAAAGTGATGGGTACATGCCCAAAGGTGATCCTGAAGGTAAGTATCCATTTCCTAGTGGGGAAGCTCCTGGTCCCAAAGGTGAAAATTCATTACCAAGTGGTAAACCTCCGGGTCCTAATGGAGAGAGTCCATTACCTATCGGTAAACTTCCAGGTCCTAACGGAGAGAGTCCATTTCCTATCGGCAAACCTCCTGGTCCATATAGCGAAATTCCATTACCCATTGGTCCACTACCTCCTGGTCTTAACGGGGAGAGTCCACTGCCGATTGGTAAACCTCCTGGCCCTAAGGGATAACCACTTGGTCGAATTGGAGAAAATCCTGGTAGCAGTGATGCAAATGGATTATAAGGTCTTGATGACATTTGTTGGTAGGGTCTCAAAGGAAAACCTCCTGGTCCTGGAGAAATCGGAGCATACGATCCTAGAGGTGCTGAAGAAAGTGGAATATAAGGTCTTGGCGACGGTCGCATGTAATTCCCAAGTGGAGAACCTCCTAATAGTATTGGTCTATAGGGCAGAGTTGGCATAGGTGATGGTCCATTATTCATACTCCCAGGCTGTGCACCTGGGCTGCCCCCAAAAACCGGCATTCCTGTTCCTTGATTTGGTGGTGGTAAGATACAAAACATCGATGGTCTCACAAGTGGTGGGCCAAAAGGACTGCCTCCTGGTCCATAAGGACTGAAAGGATTACCTCCTGGACCATAAGGACTGAAAGGATTACCTCCTGGACCATAAGGACTGAAAAGATTGCCTCCTGGACCATAAGGACTGAAAGGATTACCTCCTGGACCATAAGGACTGAAAGGAATACCTCCTAGACCATTAGGACTGAAAGGATTGCCTCCTGGACCATAAGGACTGAAAGGATTTCCTCCTGAACCATAAGGATTTCCTCCAGGACCATGAGGACCAGAATTTGGTGAATACGGACTACCCGGTCCATATCCTGGCCATACGATAGGAGATACTGGTATGTACTGATTCAGTGTAAGTCCACGAGATGGAGGGTATCGTCCGTGACCTCGACCATGATGTCGGTGATGGTGACCATGATGACGATGATGATGATGGCGATGCCGAGGATGATAGTGACAATTATGATGATGACAATTACTGCGACCGCCACAATTTTTCTGTTGAAAGAATTCACAATTTTAAAGCTTGGCTATCAAAGTAATTTTATTTTTCTAATTTATTTATTAATTTCATAATTAACAAAAGAGATAAACATAATCCACAGAGTTGTTGATTTCTAGAATTCAAAATGGCTAATGGTTTAATTGTTTGAAATAGGAAACAAATTGTTTGGGAATAAAATAATAATTATTATATTATATTTTGTAAAAGAATTTTACAATATGGGGAAATAGTGCAACAAACCGAAATTTTGACATAGAAAATACTAAACAGTGAAAAAAGTAATATGAAATTTAATAAAGTTATATTAAAATTCTTGATATTTAATATAATTATACTAAATTTCATATTATTCCTTTAACTCTTTAGTATTTTTTATATAAAATTTTCGCTTTGTCGCATTTTTCCCCAAACTGTGAAATACATTTACAAAATTTAATATAATTTTCTTTCCGTGCATTTTAAATAATAAAATTGAAAATGGATTTAAGCGGAATCGAAATAATACAAAGTAATAAATTAAAAACTTATTATAAAATCAGATGACTTTGAATAGAGAAAAAAATTGGAGATAAATTTTGAGTTTATATGAGAATAAAAATTTAGAATTTAAAAAATAAAAAGATAATAAAAAGTGAGTTTACCAAAAATCGTATGTTGCAATCGCATGCTCCATAATTGGCGAGTGCTGATGCGAAAATTGTGAAGAAGAGAAAAATTATTTTCCAATCCATATTGAGATGACTTGAGGATGATCTCAACGGACTACTGACGAAAGATTTTTGGCATCAAGATATAGTCAAGTCCCCACTAAAAAATCGCATCCTGTTTTCATATTTCAAAAATGCTTCCGTCCAAAAATTTTCATTCTTCTTTTCTTTCCTTTTATTATTTTTTATTAAATTGAATGTAACCCGGAAGAAAAACTATAAATACAGATATGTATATAACGAGACAACTTTAACAAAGAAAATTGTTACTAAAGATTTAATAAACTTTTCTTAGAAAATGTATTACTTTATTATATGTATTGTATTAAATAAATTTTTTAAGTTTATATGCAGCTCATTATGTTATGTAGTTTGTATTTTTAAATCACTTATTTTACCACTTGTTTCATTCCAAGCAACAAGAAAAAATACATTTCTTTTTCCGAGTAATTTCGTTTTTCTTAGAAAATTTATAAAATGTAAAAAAGAATATTATTTATATTTTTACTAAAAGGGCTTAGGGGGTTAAGTGAGCAAAAACTGCCCCCGGATCTATTTTTCTCAAATTTGGCCCATATATTACTATCCATATGACTATAACTTTCTGCAATTTTGAACTCAAAATTCGCTTTTTTGGGGGAGTTATGGAGAGGGAAAGCAAAATCAAAAAACTCATTTTTCTCGAAAACTACTAAACCGATTTTAATAAAATTTTAAGAGGTTGTAAATATAGATAAGACAATTTTAGAAAAAAAAATCAAAATTTTTTTCAATAAAAATTTATGAAATTAAAAAATTTTTTTTTAGGGTTATTTTTTTAAGTGACCACTTTCTCTTTTGTTGTAAAAAGTACCTTATAATGTCCCCTTTAACATACATTTTTTCCAAATTTTTTAAAAATATAGTTTTTGAGTAAAATGTCAAAAACCATGGTCATGCTATTTGTCACGCACGGTAATGCACATATGTATATACATATGGGCAATTTCATGTGATAGCCAAATAAGTATGGAATAAGTATGGAAAAAGTGACCCGAATATGTTTTTCCCATTCATTCCTACCCACTTAAAAATAACTTTTTGAAATTTTTAACTCAAAATTTTGAGTTTTCTGGAACTTATGGAGGGGAAAAAAAATCGAAAAACGCATTTTTCTCAAAAACTACTGTATGCATTTTAATCAGCTTTGAATATGTTGAAAAGACAATTAAAGAGATTCTAAAAAAAATTTCAAATTTTTTTTTTAAAAAATTACAAAAATCTTTTTTTTTTTGAAAATTTCAAAAAGAAAATTTTTTGAAATTTTCAAAAAAAAAATTTTTTAGTTCTATTAAAGTGACATTTTTATGTATTTTCTCATTTCATTCTCTTATGTGATCTACTTAATAAAAAAATTTTGCCCGACATAATTTCAGGGTGTGTCACGGTAAATAACTCAAAAACCATACCTGGTACATTTTTATATTGCATGTAAATGGTTAATTAATTATTTATTTATTTAATTCCAAATTAATACTCAGGGGTTTTCTGAATACAAGTCTGAAATCGATGTTAAAGAAAATTATTTCCAAAGAAAAATCCAAAAAAATTTATTTTGGCATTTAAAATTTTTTTCTTTTTGGATCGTTGAAGCGGTGCATCACACTTTTTTTATTTAACTGTTTTAAGTCTTACTTTTTGAAAAATAATGGCGATATTCAGATATTTAGAGTGCGACACGGTAAAAAAAACTCAAAAAATCCTAAAATTTGATTTAAAAATTTTTCAAATTTTTTTGTTTGTCTAAAAATATTTTTTTATATCAACTTCAGATTTGTATTTAGCAACCTCAATAACGCACTAGAAATAAGTTGCAAAACTATTAGACAGGTTTTTTAAAATTAACCATTTACATGCAATATAAAAATGTACCGGGTATGGTTTTTGAGTTATTTACCGTGACACACCATGAAATCATGTCGGGCAAAATTTGTTTATTAAATAGATCACATAAGAGAATGAAATGAGAAAATACATAAAAATGTCACTTTAATCCTTTCTTAAAAAAGACATGGAGTGGAAAGGTCGAATGTATCGAAAAGTATCGAAGTAAAGAATGGGCAATGAGAATGTAAAATCTTAATAGAAGGGTGTTTTTAAAATTTTTTGTACATGTGAAGGTGGCGCTGCAGTCGTATGTTATTTAAAAAGAGCGCGAATATATAAATTTTATTTTTGTTAAGAGAAAGTACACATAACAAATCTTATTTTGCATTGTCAAAAAAAACGTCAATATTTCAAATATAAATAAGCAAATTATTAACTGAAAAAATTTGAATATTATTATTAATGAAATAATAGACTTGGACAATGGACATATAAAAACCAGCACCGTAGACGGCCGCTTGCGGCCGTCGGAGGAGCTAGTAGAACTAAAAAAAAAAGATTTTTGGAATTTTTTGAAAAAAAAATTTGAAATTTTTTTTTGGATCTCTTTAATTGTCTTTTTAACATATTCAAAGCTGATTAAAATGCATACAGTAGTTTTTGAGAAAAATGCGTTTTTCGATTTTTTTCCCCTCCATAAGTTCCAAAAAACTCAAAATTTTGAGTTAAAAATTTCAAAAAGTTATTTTTAAGTGGGTAGGAATGAATAGAAAAAAAAATATAATTGGGTCACTTTTTCCATACTTATTCCATACTTATTTGGCTATCACATGAAATTGCCCATAATATGTATATGGGCAATTCCACGCAAGATTTACCTATGACCTTGAAAATTCGGTTAAACATATTTTTTTCTCAATCTATATGGAAAAAAAAGAAATACGTGTTTTTTTATTTTTGTTTAATCGCCCAAATTTTCGAGTTATGAATTTTCGAAATTTTGGATTTGTAACTGTAGACATATTTTCAGTAGCTTATAAGTCTGAAAATATTAAGTATAGAAAAAACTTGTCAAGGAATAAAAGTTTTAGTTTTCTTTCAACTTTTAATAAATGTAAAAAAAAATTTTTTTTTAAATTTTTTATTAAAAAAAATTTTTTTTTATAAACAAATTAATTTTTTTTAACTTTGGACCCTTTTCTTTTTTATTTTTTTTAAATTTATTTATACCTTATAATATACAGAAGATTTTCCAAAAAGTTTTGGAGTGGGCCGACTCGTTTAATAAGTTGTACAAAATTTTCAAAAATCACGTGCAAGGTGCTCGTGTTCTACGAAACGTCCCAAGTAGAAATGTCCGGAGTTAGGACGGAGTTAAACACCGACATGGTACTGACTCAGTACTGACCGTCGGTACTGACTTTCGGAACCCGATCAGTACTGAGAGTATACTGACTCCAAAACCGAATCAGTACTATGTCGGAGTTAGAAAAGTTCTAAAATCAGTACTGGCAGAAAACTGGCTTAACACTAAATCAGTACTGCGAAGGAGTTAAAAAAACAATCAAAATTTGTTATAATGTAATTAAACATTAAACATCGTTTGATTTATTAACAATTAAAATATTTGCAAAGATTTGTAAAAACATTATTCATCAACAATAATATCAAACATTTTATTAATTTATTATTAACTAATAGATATATTTTAATAATATAATAATAAATTATTATTAATTAATTATTTTTAGAATTATTACGTTTTATTAATAATAAAAAAAATTTTATTTTTTAAAGCTGTATATATATTTTTATTTATTTATTTAACAAAAATTTTTCTTAAATAAATTTTTTTTTATTATTATTTTAATAAATAATTAGATTATAAATAATAAATAAATAATTATATTAATAATTTTTACCATATTATTATGATGTATCTATTAATTACTACATAATGACTTGATAAAATGTATATAAAGATATATGTATAATAATTTTTCTTGAAATAAATATAATATGCAGTGGATTTATTATTAAAGCACTGTATATATCGGTCCCACAATTCAAAAGGAAGTTTATGCGAGGTAACTCCCGAGCTTGCGTGGCTATGCGGTATGTGTATTCGACTTGCGTCCTCGAGGTCTAGGGTTCGGTCCCCCGTGCGTGCGATATTTTTCCGTCTTAGTTTAAAGTGTTTTGTGTATAATTCTTAACAGTGTTACATAAAGTATAAGTTTAAATAATTAATAACCAGTAATAATAATAATTTAGTCATTAATTTAAATAAATAAGATTTAAATAAATAATGAAAAAATAAGAAAAATATTTTTTTAAAACTTATTTTAATAAAAGGAATTCTAATAATTAATTAATAATAATTAATACTAATAATAATTATTAGTATTCAATAAATTACTCCCCATGCTTTAATAATTAAATAAGGAGCTTATACTGACCGCCGGTAAAAATCAGTACTGGACAGCGTTACCAGCCAGGGTTTTCCCAGTACTGACTTAGTACTGGAGTCAGTACTGCAATACTGGCAGTCAGTACAAGATCAGTACTATGCCAGTATTACATTTCTACTTGGGACGCCTCACAATGGAATTTTTTTACAATTTATTTCTCAAAAAATGTCTACAGACTAAAATTTTTAATCGATTCGAGTATTTTTTGTTTTAAATAAAAGGAGAACAATTTCTGAACATATCCCTCCATGCAAACCTAAGAATCTTCAATTGTTTATAATTTTTTTTTAAATACAAAAAGTTAACAAATTAGTTGTGTAGTTTCCTTTAAAAATGAATGATTATTTTCTTATTTTGCTACTACACATGTCCTAAATTAGATTCAATTAATATAATATATGACCACCAGATAAATAGTAAAACATAAAATAATTTATCTAAACACTTATAAACAATATTAGTTAACAAATAGTTAACTTTGGTTCCTCTCCATAAAAAAAACTTTGTTCTTTCATATTCATATTGTACTTTAGGTTCATTTAATAAATACATCTCCCTTTCGTTAAAAAACAATTTTTAATTGTTATAAACAATAATAGTTAACAAATAATGAACTTTGGTTCCTCTGCACCAAAAAGAATTTTTTTCATAGTTTTCATTGAAGTTTATTACAAAGAATATATGTTAAAAAATAGTGAACGTATGAAATAGTTTGTTAAATAACTATAAACAATTTAATATATATATATA